GAATTTCAAATTTAAAAATATGTTTTCTATAAATAATTACTTTAAATGGAATAAATAATGCATCGATTTGTACAATAAAATTTTGTAAAAAAGGATCATTAGCTTCAAATTGTGAAAATTCATCCTACAAAAAAAAAAATAGAAAGAGTCAAAAATAAATTCTTTTTTTGTTTTTTTTTAAATTTACTTCAGATAATTTATGATTAATAGTAACATAAACATCCATAAGTGTTTTAATTCGAGGTTTAATTGCACTTGTACATAATTGTTGACAAGCAAATTCAATTAAATCTTTAAAACGATTAGCAGCAGAATGAAATTCATTTAAACAAGTCTAATAAATAAAAATAACAAAATATGTTTCTTTTTTCTTTTTTTTTTTTACTTACATCTAATTTTGTTTTATTATGTTCATTTAATGTTAAAGTTTTCTTTAATTCATCTTCAATTAAATTTTTAAGTGTATGTAAATTTCCATATGTTATTTCAACATTATTAAATGTTATTAAAAATATTTGTTTTAATTTTTCAATATCACTTCCTTGTAATTTACCTAATTGTATACTTGATTGAATAACTGTATATGCTTGTGATAAATCAAAACCTGATGGATAACCAGATTTTAATCGTATATATAATTGTTCACGATAAATTGTATCAATTATACTAACAGCATGATTTAACATAGCACATATACCTTCAATATTTGAACTTGATATTGTTCGTCTAAAGAAATATTTATAGAATTTTAATTATATTAAAAAAAATAATAATAATATTAATTTATACTTAAGACATTTTCGAAGAATAAAAAATACATCATCAACCATATTAGATGAATCAATTAAAATAGCTTTATAAATACTTTCACGCATAAAATAATTTTCAATTGTAATATATTGATTTATAAATTCATGTAAAATTCGACTTAAACCAGAATGACTTATAAATCTTTCGATTTCTTTTAATTGTTTTAAACAAATATCACTTTGTATATCATTAATTAATGGATAAGCACTTTCACAATCAGAATTTAAACGTCGACGAATAAAACGTAAATATAATTCACAACTTGCATTAATTAATGTTATTTCAGCTAAAAAATCATCTAATTCACGTGGATCAAGTTTATCAGATGATAATATATCTGTTTGTGTTAAATTAGTTGATGTTGTTGAAAGAGATTTTTGTGTTAAAGATGAAGATTGTTGAATACGACGAAATATTGTATCAAATTGTCGTTGAGATTTAAATGAATTAATAGCACGTTCAACTTGTTTATCACAAGCTGGTTGAAGCATTGAAACAAAATTAAATAATTTTCCAGGACCTAACAAAAAAAAAATCAGATATCAAAATGAGAATTATTTTCCAAAAAAAAAAAATTCACCATAATATGTTTCTACAAGTGGTTGATAAGTTTCTACAATTTCTGCAACATATTCAAATAGATTTGTTAAATAATCTGAATATATAACTGGATAACGTTTATGATTAAATGGTATTTCTAATGTTTTCTTAAATGTTTTTTCTCCATGTTCATAAATTTGTAAACAAAGATGTTTACAAAATTTTTCTAAACCAATTTGATGTAAATTTAATAATGGAAATATTTTAAAAAAACGCATAGCTTCTGGTAAATGTCCTATTTCAACTGCTTGATCAAATTTAACATTTACAATTGATTTTAATTTTTTTTCTGCTTCATCAAGAGAAAGTAATGCTTGATGAAGACTACTTCCTATAAATAATCAAAATTATTAAATCAAACAAATATAAATAATGTTTTAACCTTCAGCTGGATCACTACTTAATTGTAATGAAGCTGCATCAATATTTAAATATCGATGAATATGTGCAGCTGCCTAAAACAGAGAAAAAAAAACTTTATTTTAGAAATAAAATTCAATTGAATACTTGTTTACTTCTTCATATTCTTCATCTTCTAAAGCTTTTTTAACTCCATCTGTACATTTTTTTAAATCAATAATATCTTTCGCTCGTTGTAAACAAGCAACAACACGACTCTAAATTATTTGAATTAAATAAAACAAACAGAAATATAATCAACATTACTTTTGTCACATCTAATTCTCGAACTTTTCCACTAATATTATCAGCTAATGCTGCAGTAAATGAAATTGTATTTGATAAATTATGTGCATCTTGTGTTATTATTTGTAATGCTGGTCTAAAAAATATTTTTGAATAAAATATTGTTTGAATCTTATTTTTAAAAAATACAAACACTAAATTTTTAATTGAAATCATTTGCCTTTCAAATGAATCTTGATTTGAAAGTAAAACTGATAATTCATCGTTAAGTATTTTCTTTAATTAGCAAAAACAAAAAAAAAAAGAAATTGAATTTTTTCTACCAAAATAAATCAACTTACTTCACGTGTATTAAGTGTTTCTAATTCTTTTTCTAATAAATCTATATTAGGCAACATTTTATTCTTTTTTAAAAATAAAACAAAAAAAAAGAAAGATCAATTAAATAAATTATTTATTTTCTTTATTGGATCAGTTTTATCCAATCAAATACAAGAATCGATAGATGAAGTATACAAATGATTTCTACCAGTGGCAGCAGTATACATTGAAAAAACAATATAATTGATGAAAAGTAACTGAAAAGTAATTTAACAAAAGAAATGGAATGTTTATGATACACTTGTTATTGTCATGTTATAAAATTTCTTCGGACGAGAACATTTTGTAAACATTTCCATCGCTACTACTAAATTCAATCTGTGAAAATATCTATTGTTGGAGTTGGTCGTCGAGAAGAATCTATTTATAAATTAATGCATGTATTAAATAATGAGTCAACAAAAAATGGTGGTAGATTTAAAACATTTTTGTCAACACACAGCATTTTTAACAATTTTGGATATATTGTTGAGATCGACGAGAGTTGTTTTGGAAACAGAAAGTACTTATAGAATCAGCTTCATAGAGTCATAACAACAGGTGCTTGCATTGATCGATCATTATATCATAGTGTTTTATGACAGAAATCAGCAAAAGGTAATGTTCGAACATAAACATTAATTATTTCATATATGTAAAATTCGAAGAGTCGTTATAATTTTGAAAGTTTATAATTTGAGTTAGAAGTGCCACATTGGTATCAGTATTAGCAATGTTTAATACTAACGCTAATGCTTTTACATCAGGATCAATCATTAAAACTAATGCTTCAGCATGATTGACATTAGAGTTGATAAATGCCAAGGTGCTAGGATTATGTTAGCATTAGTATTAATTTTAATACATGTACTCCATGTAATTTTTTAAGGACTACCTACACAGACTACCTATAACTTTTCAGGAGTTTCTCTGATACATTACCTGTTGTATTTCAGCTGCTATCTGTAGCAGTTCATGTAGTACTTGCAGCATTGCAAGTGTTACTTGATCATGTCACTGGTGAACTCTCAGTCTGAAAAGTTATAGATAACATGTTCAGGTACCATCTAACAGCTACATTGTGTATCTACACAAGAGTCATCATTAGCGTGAGTGAGTGTGTGATTATCATCTCCATACACAATCATCCATACTCACAGCTAAAAGTCAGTGCACAAGTGCTTAAATGATGAGTTTTAATATAAAAACTCGTAAAAAAATTAACGATTCTTACACTGTTGACTTTTCAGGACAAAACTAAACAGTTTCCAAGATTAAGGATCATCTCTTCCCTCCTAATCGAGACACCCTAATTCATAATTCTATAGATGCGGCAAATGTTTAGTTAATTTTCTTTCAAAGAAATATTGTCGAATAAATAATTCAACTCCATCTTATTTGATTAGTTTTGTTATGCTCTTAGAATTTTTAAATAAAGTTAGTAAAAGAAAGGCTTACATATACTTTTTGCAAAGCTTCATCATAAACTATTGACATCTATAGAAGTCATCTACGGCGTAATATATCGTTGTTGTTGTCTATCTATTTTTTTCGTTTGACTTGTTTTGTTGGTCGTTTTTTTAACCAATAAATCTTCATTCTGTTCTTTCATGTATCAAAAGTGAACTGCTACTGAATTTTGCAATATATATTCGATATAAAAAATTGTGAAAGACAGATAGATGCTTCGAACAACAATTCGACAATTTGCATCAAAACCAACGTCCTTACGAAATGTAGCTGTTGTTCTTAGTGGTTGTGGAGTTTATGATGGAAGTGAAATTCATGAAGCATCAGCATGCCTTGTCCATTTAAGTCGTCATTCAGCATCTGTACATGTATTTGCTCCAGATATACCACAAAAACACGTTATTAATCATTTAACTGGCGAAACTATGTCTGAAAGTCGTAATGTTCTTGTTGAAAGTGCTCGAATAGCTCGTGGTGGACAAAATATTTCATCACTTGATAAACTTCAAGCAAATCAATTTCAAGCCATTGTTTTACCAGGTGGATTTGGTGCAGCAAAAAATTTATCAACATTTGCTTTTGATGGAGATCAAATGAGTATTGATACTCATTTAACAAATATTTTAAAAGATTTTCTTCATAGTCGAAAACCAATTGGTATGTGTTGTATTTCACCAGTTATAGCCGCAAAATTAATACCAGGTGTTCAAATAACTTTGGGAAAAATGAAAAATTTAAATGAAAATGAAGCAAAAAATGTATTTCCTTATTCTGGTGCAGTATTAAGTGCAAGACAAATGGGTGCAGAAACACAAGAATGTGATGTGAACGAAATATGTGTTGATGAACGTCATCGAATTGTTACAACACCTGCATTTATGAAAAATGCTTCTTTTCATGAAGTATTTGATGGTGTTGGACTTATGATAGAAAAAGTTATTCAAATGATAGGCACCAAGTAATATAAACAACGGAACATTTTTATCTTTTGGAAAAAAAAATAGAATCCTTTTAGAGAGTTACTGATAGACTGTATCACTTTTTTTTCCTAATTCTAGATAATCTATTAATTTGTTTTTTTTTTACCTATTATTTACCATCAAATAATCTTATCAATGAGTTCATCAACAACAGCAAGTGGAATCAATTCTTCCACATCATCTCGAAATACATCTCGATTAAGTGCAACTTCATCCGAACAATTATCTATGGCTTTTATAAAACGAGCTCTTACACCAAAAGCAACTTGGACACATAAGGTTAAACATATTCTTTTTCAATTGTAATATTATATATATATTTATGTTTTTTTTTTTAAGGAAGAATTTCTTGATGCTGTTTATTGGCTTCGACAAGTGTTAGGCATTATTATTGGTACAATCCTTGGTCTATTGTCTGTGAAAGGTTTTATGGGTATTCTTATGTCAGTATTATTTATTTTCTATTTACGAAAATTTAATGATCAAATGAATTATTTTAGATTTGCTATAATTAGTTCATTGATTGTTTTTATCTATGCAACAAATGTGCAAAATGTTGATCCAGAAGAATATGGTGGCATTGTTGAAATAATAAAAGAAGGTTTTATGACTGCTTTCGCAACATTTCTTGTAAGAAAATTCTTTTCTTTTTTTTTTTCTATGTTTGAAATTTTCAAAATTATTTTTCTTTTATTTTTAGGTTTCTTGGATTGTACTCTATTCAGCGTTTTATATTCCAAAGTCAACTATACCTACAATATAATTCTAATATGTTTTCGCATTCTTTCTTTGTTTAGCTTTGTTGTTCGTTCTTTAAAAACAAAAAGAAAAAACGAATTTTTTTTCCTTTTTCAGATAAATAAAAGAAAATGGCAACAAAAAAGCGAACTAAAGCTTTTATGGGTATGCCTGCTCCATTAGGTTATGTTCCAGGTCTTGGTCGTGGTGCCACCGGTTTTACAACTCGGTCAGATATTGGTCCAGCACGAGAAACAGGTGATATCAGTGATGAACGGCACGCACCACCAACTAAACGTCGAGACGAAGACAATGATGATGATGATACAGATTTAAATGATTCAAACTTTGATGAAGAATTTGGTTATGGTGGAAGTTTATTTAAAGTAAAATGAAATTAATTTAAAAAAATTTTCGTAATAAACTTTTTTTTTTGTTTTTTTCTTTTTAGAATGATCCATATGAAAAAGATGATGAAGAAGCTGATCAAATTTATGAATCAATTGATAAACGTATGGATGAAAAACGTAAAGAACGAAGGTAAGTAATTAACAAAGAAAAATAAAATTATTTATTAGAATATTCCGAAGAAAAAAAAAACATTCTTTTGTATAGAGAACGACGATTTCAAGAAGAAGTTGAAAAATTTCGTCAAGAACGACCAAAAATTCAACAACAATTTAGTGATCTTAAACGTAAATTAGCTGATGTTACACCTGAAGAATGGATGAGTATGCCAGAAGTTGGTGATGTAAGAAATAAACGTCAACGAAATCCAAGACAAGAAAAGTAATAAGAAAATTTTATTTTTATTTTTTATTTAATAATTTTTATTTTATTTTACTAGATATACACCTGTACCTGATACAATTATTGCAAAAGCTGTTTCAGCTACTGAACAAACAAATGCTGTTGATATACGTGAACAGGCATTTGGTGGTTTTATAACACCAGCTACTGGCATGTCAACACCCTCAATTGACATTGATATGGCTAAAATTGGTCAAGCACGAAACACACTCATGAACGTGAGATTAACACAAGTAAGAAAGAAAAATAAAATAAAACAACAATATATAATTCATTTATTTATTTCTATATATATATGTAGGTTTCAGATAGTGTTAGTGGTCAAACAGTTGTTGATCCCAAAGGTTATTTAACTGATATGCAATCAATGTTACCATCATATGGTGGCGATATAAATGATGTTAAAAAAGCTCGATTATTATTAAAAAGTGTTCGAGAAACAAATCCATCTCATCCACCAGCGTGGATTGCATCAGCACGTTTAGAAGAAGTTGTTGGTAAACTTCAAGCGGCAAGAAATTTAATTATGCGTGGTACAGAACATTGTCCAAAAAGTGAAGATGTTTGGTTAGAAGCAGCACGTTTAATGCCATTAGATTTAGCACGTGGAATTGTTACACATGCTGTTAGACATTTACCACAATCGGTTAAAATTTGGGTGAAAGCTGCTGATTTAGAACAAGAACCAAAAGCTAAAAAACAAGTTTTAAGACGAGCACTTGAAAATGTACCAAATTCTGTTCGATTATGGAAAGCAGCCGTTGAATTAGAAGATGAAGATGATGCTAGAATTATGCTTAGTAGAGCTGTCGAATGTTGTCCAACATCAGTTGATGTAAGTTAATTTTATATAAATTTTCTTCATTCATCAATATTTGACTATTTGCAGTTGAGTTTTGCAATAGGGCTCATATTGCCAAAAAAAGAAATTTTGAAAATTTCAAACATTTGCGTTTCAAATAGTTCGATACTTTCGATAATAATCTGATTTCTGACATTTCCGAAACTTGCGTTATTTTGTATTTACTGAAATTACGAGAATTTTGAAAATTCTTAAAATTTTCAATATTTTTAAATACTATTGATTAACATTGCAAAATGATTATCAAGCTAATGAATAGTTCCGAAATTTTTATGATTTCCTTTTCTTTTGAAAATTTGAATATACTTCAAAAATATAACAAAATTAGTTGGTTATTTTATTAAATGTACTTAAAAATTTTGCAATTGATAATTAGATAGCTATAAACAGTTCTATTTAAAACCAATCAAAACTATATAACCTATAATAAATTAATAATAAGCAATAAATAAATCTTTGTTGTCATCTTTGATAAGATTTAATTATTTTCTAAATTCTTTGAATATAATTTATTTTATTATCGAATTTTTAGTTATGGTTAGCATTAGCACGTCTTGAAACATATGAAAATGCCCGACGTGTACTTAATAAAGCTCGTGAGCATATTCCAACTGATCGACAAATTTGGATTATGGCTGCCAAACTTGAAGAAGCTAATGGAAATACTGCTATGGTTGATCGTCTTATTGAACGAGGTTAGTGTTAATTTTCTTTTCAAATTTTCATTCAACGAGAAACAAACTGACTTTGTGATTTCAAGTGATTTCAACTTGATATCAGAAATTGAAATCAGTTTGTTCCTCCTTGTTTTCATTACAATAATATTTTTCTTTAATAGCTTTATCTTCATTAACTGCAAATATGGTTGAAATTAATCGTGAACATTGGTTTAAAGATGCTATTGAATGTGAAAAAGCTGGTTCTGTTCATACATGTCAAGCATTAATTCGTAATATAATTGGTATTGGTATTGATGCTGAAGATCAATTAGATACATGGATTGAAGATGCACAATCATGTCAAAATGAAAATGCATATGAATGTGCACGTGCTATATATACACATGCACGTAAATTACATCCAACAAAAAAACAATTATGGTTAGAAGCAGCTGATTTTGAACGAAAACATGGTACACGTGAACAACTTGAAGAACTTTTAACAACAGCTGTTACTAGTTGTCCAAAATCGGAAGTTTTATGGTTAATGTTAGCTAAAAGTAAATGGTTAGCTGGCAATGTACCATTAGCTCGAGAAACCTTATCAGCAGGATTTCAGGTGAAATAAAATTTAATTTTATTATTAAATTTAATTAAATATCTTCTTTTTTTTTCTTTCTTATTTAGGCAAATCCAAATTCTGAAGAAATTTGGCTTGCAGCTGTTAAACTTGAATCAGAAAATAATGAATATACAAAAGCACTTAGTCTTTTGAAAAAAGCACGACTGTAAGATTTGATTGTTTTTGTATTATTAAAAATTTAATATGAAAATAAAAATTTTTCTTTTTCTTTTGTTTTAGTCATGCACCTACAGCTCGTGTTTATATGAAATCTGTTCGTTTACATTGGTGTTTAAATGATATTCCAGCAGCAAAAGATTTATTAGAAGAAGCATTAAAAACTTATGGAAATTTTTCAAAATTATGGATGATGAAAGGACAAATATCAGCTCAACAAGGTTCAAATGGTTTTGACGCTGCTCGAGAAGCTTATTTAGAAGGAATTAAACGATGTCCAACAAGCATACCATTATGGTTACTTTTAGTTCAATTAGAAATTGATAATGGACATTTAATTAAAGCTCGAGCAAATTTAGAAAAAGCTCGTTTACGTAATCCAATGACACCTGAACTTTGGTTAGCTAGTGTTCGATTAGAAATGACTGCTGAAAATGTACAACAAGCTAAAGTTATGCTTGCACGAGGTTAGTTTACATCATTCTTAATGAAACAATAAACAGAAGAATTTTTTTTTTATAGGTATGCAAGAATGTCCATCAGCTGGTATACTTTGGGCTGAAGCAATATTTATGGAAGCACGTCCACAACGTAAATCGAAAAGTGTTGATGCTTTAAAAAAATGTGAACATGATCCACATGTATTAATGGCTGTATCAAAATTATTTTGGTCTGAACGTCGTATTGATAAAGCACGTGAATGGTTTAATCGTACAATTAAACTTGAAACAGATATTGGAGATTGTTGGGCAGCTTTTTATAAATTTGAATTAATACATGGAACAGAACAACAGCAAATGGATATTAAACAAAAATGTATTAGTTTAGAACCAAGACATGGAGAATTATGGTGTAAAATTGCAAAAGATGTTAAAAATTGGAAATTAAAAACAGGAGATATTCTTGAATTATGTGCAACACAAATGCCTATACCTAATTAACAATTTCTTTTTCTTTTATGTTTGCGCTTTGTGTATATGTGAAAATAAATAAGAACTTAAAAACAAAAAAAAATTGTACCGAACAATAATTAGATGATTTTATTTATATATAAATATATAATCAAGTACTTAGTAGATTCATATGATGTGAATTTAAAGACTATTATAAGGATATGTTTAGATTTGTAGAGGAAGGCTTCCTCTATTCAATAGACTATGAACCATTACAGATACAACGGGAGATAGTCATCTTTTAGTTGATTCCCATATTAAAACTAATTAAAAAGCAGTTAGTGAATAACTCTCTAATCTAACAAAGGAAAAATCCAGAAACTTCAAGATAGAATCTATTACATGAGTTGTACCTATGTTAAAAGTTTCAGCAAGATCGGATTAAAAAAAACTTTCCTCTGGAAAACCAGTTTTGTAGAGAATCTGTCGAATTCTAGAATAAAAATTTTTATCTTATCATCATCTAGAGATTTTAAAGAAGAATTTTTACCGTCTGGAAATTGATTTTAAACTTCTTATTGGGTTATCAGAGCAATTTTCTGTTGATATGTTCGCATTCTATCACGTGTCTAACAAAAAGTTAATCGCTTTTCTTTATGAAAAATTCAGGCATGTTCAGAAGATGTTTTGCAAAGAAGTTTTTTGTGGTCTCAAGATTGAACTTTTTTCCAACTAAAATAGTTGAGGCGAAAGTCGATGTACTTTTTTATTTTGTCACTAGTACTAGTTTTTTACTAATAACTCTTCTAAACAAAGGTCTCTTGCGCTGATGTTGTTATGATATATACTATCAAATTCTATTACACATTGTGGGAAAGAATTGAATTGAAAAAAACTATGAATTTCATATTTTTTAAGGAGGTTCTTCTAGATCAGAATCGAAATCATGTAAAATCATACTAGAATCTAACATAATGATGTACATATCGTTCGACAGTCCAC